GAGATCAAAAGCTTGACCGAAAAAGACTTGATGCATATTAGAGACTGCATATTTCGTTGGGTGACTTTCTATTTCAACACAGCCGATGAATGTGTTGTCTCTTCTATGTCTTTAAATAAATCCGTAATTGTCGGTCAAAAGTATCAGATGAAACAGGCTTGTTTCTTTTTACGTTCTCAAATCCTAGTAAGATTTTCACCGATTAAGACCTTAATATGAAACTTGACTTTCTTCTCTTGCCTCTATAGACTTACGTTGGAGCGCGAGTTGGCCATTCTTATTCAGCCATACAGGTCTTTGCGACCCAGCATAAATATAGATAGCCTCATACATTCTACCGGCCACAACGCAACTGTCCCTGGATTTTCTGCTGCCACCTCGGAGGCGGCGAGCCTTGTTGGCCTTTCGCCTGCCAGTTCGCCAGCAGCATTTCGTGAAGGTGAAGACGTATATCCAGGCCGCGAAATCGCTGCTCCCTTCAAAAATCTACAAATATGTCAGTCCTCGTCCTACTCCAAATCTGTCACAACAGCTGTCTCCATAGTTTCATCCACACCTGCTTTAGCATCCCGCTCCAAGTCGAGTCACTATGCTAACGCCACAGCCCTGATGCGCTTCTCCCCAGGGAACTCAGGACATGCTGCAGGAAAGGCAACCAATTCAGCAGGAACGGGGCCTCCTGAGTCAGATTCAGGCCCAGGCTGGAAGGGATCATCACTTGGCTGAAAGCTGAACCTGAAATTTGGCATAGTTACAGAAGAAATCTTCACTAGAGAATACAAGAGAAGTAGGTAGTTGACGAAAGATAAAGTAATTGTCCTATAGCTAATTTGAGGACGGGTATTTGCCCCAAAATTATTAGCCACAATAATTTACTTATGCAAATGTTAAAGTATATATTTACACTGTCATTACCTACTATACAAGGGTCCTAAACCCATGAATATATAGAATGATATGATAGAATAGAATTTAATTTAATTTAATATATATATATATACTCAGAGTACCAGAGAGAATTATATAAAATGTAATAATGCTTTTGCCATTGAGCTGGTTCCATAAACAAATTTTATGACAATATTTGAAATATTATGCTGAGAACTTTCCGTGCAACCATTTTAATTCTCTTCAATATATGAAAGAAGGACAGCTGTGGTACTAACATCACAGAGACTAGATTCTAAATAAGCTGGGCTTAAATTATTCCTGACGAGATAAACAAGTTGCCTCTCAGTTTCAAATAGTTCAACTTTTAAATTTTTGTAGGAAGCAATAAGAACAGACAATAGCGATTCTTCCAAAGAGATCGTTTAGGTCTTCTACAAGTAGTGAGTGGTCTGCCTTTGTTTCATGGCCTTTAACTCATTCAAACTCGTCCTGGAATTACTATCGCTCTTTGTTCGATTCTAACGTTAGATTTGTAAACGCTGATTCAGTACCTTAGAGTTATTAATAATTGTGTTTTTCCGTTATTTTAGAAATCTACTATTCGAATCACACTATCTGCAAATGCATGTCTTTCAATCATAACATATTTTATATTCGGTATTAAGCAACAATTGTATGATAAACAGATTGATCCTTCTGCTTTTTTCGATTTATTTGCCTTTTCGCGTATATCTCCGCTAGATGCTGAATATTACTTATGTTATTAGCCATATCCTGCTTTTCAGACAATTATTCAACCGCCTTTGCCCTAAGGTTTCGTCACACATTATACTTTATGAAACTTGCAACCTTAAGGCAAAACATCCAAAATACATTCTATACTTGTTGTTCTCTCCGGGCATCCTTAAAGCCACCTCTTCTTTCTGCTATATATACGTCTTAGAAATAGTGGATGTTATTTTATTTTAATGAGGCCGTGTTGGCGCGGGTTCAAGTGGCTGATTTTTTTACTATTTCCTTTTTCTTGTATATGTTTCGTTGATTCATACTTCTTGAATCTGCGGCACTCCACCAATTTTATAGATTATCTTGGTGTCACGCTATACTACATTACATCCGCATTACTTACCAAGTATTTTCTTTATAGAGCCAGTGTTTTGTCAAATATTATAAACTCTGCCCGTTTACAATGCATAAGGGCAATTTCTGAGTGCTATTTATGCATATTTATAATTCTCCTGAAAGATCTTATTCCATTTTTAAGCTATTATGAATATTCTTTCTTTTCTTTTTTGGCATAAGCAGAAATTGAAAACTTGAAAAGTTGATCATGATCATCCTTATTTGGATTTGCTTGAACTTTTCGAAGTAAGCTCACTGATACTAGAATTGCATTTTATTTTCACCATATTGCTCATAGTTCATTCACTTTCGTATGTCTTCCTATTTAGATTTGAACCTGATTGCAAAGCTTATCTACAAAATGTAGGAAAGCATTTGCATTTTCAGGAAATTTATCGTACCTTGTAAGTTGATATCATTAGGAAAAGATGCCTGGA